CCCCCCCCCCCCCCAAATACAAACAATTACCATAACTTTTATATGTAGTATGGTGGTAATAAAAAAGCATGTCCTATATCATCGTACTGCTTCCTTCATGATAACCTCATCCTATTAAAAAGGGGATTCAGTAGCAAAATCACGCTTATTGAACAACATGGATATGAGCTCTTTTGAATCAGTTATCTTCTCTTAACCGTACTGAATTTTAAAATGGAACATCACTTATGAAACTGATTTGTAAACTGCTCACTGCTACTGTGTGACAGGGTACAAGGCAAGTGGGACTGATGATCTGATCTAGTAAATGGTAATTCTTATTTTCTTATGATTATATGATGCATGATGTCAGAAGACTGGGCTTGACAACCCAGATGACCCTTTCCAATCTAATGTTTCTCTGCCTTATGGGAATCTTGGGCCAAATGTGAACAGCCAGAAAATCTGTGATGACCGGTTTTACTGTTGATCTAGTGTTTAAGATTTTTCGTACTAGAAGTAGCTGCTTGTTTTATGCGCTATGACTAAGGTTATGGTTCTTACATAATGTTAGCATCCTCCCCTAGTGGAAATGTGTATTTGAATGGAAATGCTTCTGCATCCACAAAGCTCTAGTCTACAGCATTTTCATCTTCTACTATCTCGCCCTCCAAAGCATGAAATCATGGAGACATTTGTGCTACTGCAGAGGCAGTGAATTGATTAAACATGTTATCAATTGAAAAAAAAAATGTTGAAACAATTGTATCTCCAATCATCACTAAGATGGTAGGATTTTAAAAAAAAATTCCATTTGTTTGCATAGTTTGTTTTATCGCCCTGATTGGGAAAACAATTGTACTGTGGTGTTTTGTTTACATCCATCTTTTACAAAACTACAGGAAGAAAAGAAATGCATTTAAATACTAAGAAAATTAGGTTCTAAACCACAAATATTGGTACAGAAAATTGAAGCTGACGTAGAACCTTTAAGTACTTTGGATAAAATGAAATCTTGAGACCATGACCTGGGGCTTCTTCTGCCCAGATAACTGCATTTATCACTGGATTTAAGGTAAGGATCATGTTTCTATTCACTTTGGATGCTTACAGACTTAAAAAAAAAAAAAAAAAAAAAAAAAATCCCTCAGAAGCAGCAGCCTGTAGTTCGACCTGGTGTCTGTATAGATTGGGTGCTTTAGCGGGGCTTTTTAGCAGTTTTATCTTCAGCCGATTCAATCAGCTGTTAGATAAAAGCACCAAAATAACCCCACCACACTGTACAATCTATACAGATGTTGGGTCCAACTAATGCAATGTCTAATACAATGCCTCGTGGGAGTATAGCAATTTTAAAGTAAAGCGCCCTTTTTTAAATGTCTGTAAGCATCCATCTGTCTGTCTAGCCCTATGAATCTTTCATTATTGACAGCACTGTGGCATAACTTCCAAAGAGTATGCTTTCACCCTAGTCCTGGCAGTTAGGGTTAGGACTAGGGTGAACCATCAGGGCTGGTAGGGCATTGAACATGAGTCTCTGACTTCCTGGGCAGTGCTTTGTTCACTGAGGTATTATATAACAGATGAACACGACTGCCCCAGGCACATCCACCTCCTGTTCCTAAAATGAAAAGAGTGAGCCGGCTTATTATGTTTTGTTTATTGACTAAACCAGTTGTTGGTGATGGTGAAAAGTCTAGTAACATTGAATACAACAGAAAACCTTAAAATAGCTTAAAGAACATCTTTGAGTTATGTAAATTATAACAAAGTGATGCAGCATAATATTATTTTCAAATGCAGTTCCTATTCAGTTGGAAGTATGCAGGGAAATTATGAAGTGCATGTGTGGTTTGTTTGTATGTATATTGTGCCCATGTAAAAAGCTGAATACTTAACTTTGGTGAATCAGACAGGATGCTTTGATGCAAATTCCCATTGTGAACATTACAGTGTACTGTATTTAAATAATCATAGAATCCTAGAAAATTAGGGTTGGAAGGGACCTCAGGAGGTCATCTAGTCCAACCCCCTGGTCAAAGCAGGGCCATCCCCAATTATATCTTCCCAACCGGGGATTTGTCTAGTCAGGTCTCAAAAAGTTCCAAGGATGGAGATTCCATCCAGAATAACATTATTAAAATGAAACTGGTATTTTCCCAAAGGAATGCAGTTACCTTGTGCCTTGTGAAATATGAAATTATCTCTTCTCTTAATAAAAAGTGTACTTGATGAGCCAGAACAGAAAAGAGAAAGCTTGAAGTTAATCTATTGCTGGCTATATTCAGTCGGAGAGATGATAACTTGGCAGTAAAAACTCAATCCGGCTAAATCGTTTATCAGAAAGGTAAGATTGAGAAAGGAACCAGTTAAATGGAAAAAAATAAAGTCACTTTGTCATAGCACTATTTAACATGCAAGTCTGGGTATAAATGTTTTTAACACTAGAAGGAAAAACCAAGGTTAATCTGAGTTGATTAAAAACGTTCATGTTACATTGCAAATAACAGACTAATTCAGGAATAGGAACCTCTTCTGGCTGCTGGCCAGATGACTCGCCCCAGATCGGAGGTAGGTGGACAGGTGTTAGGGCTTGGCCACTCCTGGCGCGTATCCCCACAGCAGCAGGGGGCTGTCTGGGCTGGATCCAATAGCACTACGTACCAGATCTGGCCGGAGGTTGCCAACCTGAGGAGTAACTGATTAAACATTTTACTGTATAAACAATGGGGAAAGCGTTAAGGACCATCTAAGTTGGGCCAGTTTTCATGGACTGATTTGTAATTTATAGTTTTGATAGTTTTGAAGAAACTTTGTCTCTTTCTGCCTGCCTGTAGACTTTCTGTATGCCAGGGTATTCATCCTCTCAGCCTTTGTTTGCATATGCATTCAGAGTTTTTAAGCTTTGTTTTTATTATCTTTGAAGAAATTGGAAATTTCTGTTGAGATGCTACATTATCTTTCTTTTTACTTGAGGATTACAAAATAACTTCTGAGGTTTTGGCACGCACTTTGGAAATGATGCTGCCAAGCCTCATTCATCTAAATGAGGTAGATGGGGTTAAGAACTGTTTCACTGTCTGAAAATGCATGAAATTGTGCGAAGGACTTGCTCAATAGAAGTCTTGGCCTTGTTTTGACTGAATACTGAAAAAAATAATAGCATTCACAGGAGGGAATCAAACCCCGGAATATTATTGATTTCAACATGCAGTCATCTTCATGTTTTGTTACAGAAGTATTTATATCAGTGG